AGACAATGCGGGGTAAAGCATCCAAGAAATCACTTTTTTAAATTTATGGCTTCACACATGCCAACAGCTGGGAATCACAAACTGATTTTCAAAGTTAGCCAACCAACATCCTTACCTTGAAGAAGGCTCGTGCGACTACGAGCCTTAACGCCGATATTGATCAATCATCTGATTAACGACTGTTAGCACTGTGCATAAATAAATGGTGTTTTATACTATTTTTTTGACATTCTAAAGATTAGTCTTTAAGTGCAGACGGAAACCACTAGTAAGCGGTTACTGTGCGATTAAATGTCCATTAAACTAAAGGGAAGATTACCGAACGGGTGTAGGACCGGCGTTCTGTATGAGACGGATTATTTGGCCACTCTGAAATGATAGAAAAAATACCTGCATTTGGTAGCAATGGTGGGGCGTCAGCAAAGACAACCATGTCCAAAAAGCCATCAAAATAGACATTTTAAGTGTGGCATCAGAAAAGCTTTTCGAAGACAGGCTACGTTGATTTGGCAGCTTGCGAAGAACGTTCTCGAGTGCCGTAAAAATGTCGTCAAGGCACTGATTTTGCCAGAGAGGAAAAGAAGATGAAGACAAAAGATAAAGTGGCGCGATGTAGTGAACAAATTGCGAGGAATGTTCATCCAAAGACAGACAAATGTCTAAGCAGCTGACTCGAACAGAGAACCCCTGTCAGAAGGAAAACTAGAGGAGGAAGAAGACAAGACAACATACCTGACCACGGTGACCTTCAGTCCTTCTGCCTGTGAGCTTATAATCAGAGTATTATTCACTTAAACAGATTCTCTCTGAAGAAATTATGGTCTGACCAAACTTGTGTTAATTTAGTTTTGTCAGCGAGCATCTATGGGTTCATGATCGACTTTGAGCGGGATGACAGTGATTAAATAAAGAGAAACATAGTGTACCGTATTGATGCAACATTCTACATCGTAATTCATAATACTTTAATCTATAAATATGAGACGAGACAGCTACTCCATGCAATGTTTAGGTATCTCACATAAGAACATGTACGAAGGGTCATTATTGCTTCCATGAACATAGCATAATTCCGCAACGGTGTCAATGATTCATTGTCGATCACATATTGCAATGTGGGGATGAAAAGGCCACCGACATTCCGAACGTAACTACTGGCTCACACTGAACAATTTGACTCACCTCTGTTCGAAATTCGTAATCGAGATTTAAATTTTACCTAAGCATGTCGACCGACGCGTATTAAAATCACAGTATCACCAGCTCCATCAAACTAAGCTCATAAAGCTTGTCTGCCAATTATAATCAAATTGTGATGTACCATCGAGTCATGAACGAGTATATGCTGAGAACTACTTTTCTTAGTAAACTGTCAGAAACATTCAAAGACCTGACTATGGCTTCGTTTGATTAAATGGTGAAAATGGAATTTAAATTTGCTCAAAATCTTTCTCACGTGTGAACTGTCGTTCAAGGTCTGAGACGCTAGCGAAGACAACACAAAACCTGGAGACACATCGTATAGACAGTCAGTTTCATTCATCTTAATTCAGCGAACTTCTTCAGCCCATCGTGCCATCGATCTGGAGGTCATCTTATGGATCGTTTACCTTCACTTTCTAGCGTCTCTGTGAATCAGCGACTCTCGATTCTTCTCGGTGTGAGTCAGGCTCATTTCCATTGAAACTTTTGTTGGTGCCATCATTGAATGATTCGTTCTTCCTATCATTTCTTCTCTTTCACAGCGTACATCTTTCCGTGCTGTGCTGAGTAGTCGGCGATTTATGAATGGTTTACAGGTTTAGGGTGAGTCCACCTTTTGCATCCATGGGTGGCACAGTCATCACATACTGATCGAATACTCTCAGTTTCAAACACAACGCCAGTTTCTCTGATTGAATCATTATCAGTCTTCTGAAATTGTTTCGTACCATTCTTATTCTACTGTTGACTCCGCTGTAGAGATGAACTATGCAAGACAGACATAGTTTTGCATTTCTTCAAACCTATGTTCGTTGACACCAGCAGGTCGTGAGGTCAAGTATTTGTTGAACATGACCTGAGTCGTTTTTAGATTCATTTCAGTCCCTTTTCGTGTAGCTCTTGGATTCTTCATCGCAGTTTTTCTTGTGACCTTGAGAAAATCAGAATACGGGCGTCCGCAAACTGCAGATGGATTACGTGCAGCCCATGTATGTTCAGCCCATGACTTTCTAAACAGACTTTCTTGATAACCTTTTCCACGACTGCTGCGAATAACTTCACTGATTGGTCAAAGGCAAGCAGAGGTATCATTACTGCAATATTGCACAGCATCGTAAATCCGGATTATTCTGTTGTCTGAACTTTGATTTCTTCTAATGACAGTGACAAAACGCGAGCGGAAGCCAAACTACGAATTGTAACTTCTTTGATGTGGTCTGCTGCAAGCCTGGTACGCCTCAGCTATCGACAAAGCAGAAAATAATCTCATTAAATCATTCAAAACATAGTGCCGTAGACAACTGATTGCCCAGGATGGATTTA